CAGGCGATCCAACGGAAGAGGCTGAAGAAGGCGAAGCCTCAGCGACTGGGGCAGCCGCAGTCCGTGCTGATGTCTGCGAAGGGTACATCGTGAGTGGCGAAGTCCCGGCGAAACCTGTAGAGAGGGCAAAGTCGGGGATGCAGGGCGCGCCGCTGACGGCGAAGACACCGGTGGCGCAAGAGCAGTCGACGAAAACGCCGATGCCGGCGTTGCGGATGGCGGCAGCAGACGCNGGTGATGTCCGCGAAGGGGACATCGTGAGTGGCGAAGTCCCGGGCGAAACCTGTAGAGAAGGCAAAGTCGGGGATGCAGGGCGCGCCGCTGACGGCGAAGACACCGGTGGCGCAAGAGCAGTCGACGAAAACGCCGATGCCGGCGTTGCGGATGGCGGCAGCAGACGCGCGGCAGTCCGGGTGGGCTTGTTTGTCGAGCGGGACCTGCTAGAGCGACGGGCAGGCGACGATGTCCGAGGGACAATGGTAGCCCGCGGCTGGCGTCCGAAATAAGCGGGACCGGTGACGGTGCCTCCGGAACCAGCGGTAGTTTTGGCCCGAGTCCGTGAAGAAATGAGCGGTCCCTGCTCCGGAAGCGAAGACAAAACGTGCACATATCTAGTCGCCAAAGACGCGACAGGAGACATCACGCGGGACGCATCCGAAGTCAATGAGGAAGCAGGCCCTGAAGATGCGAGAACAGGCGAGACGATGAAGACCCCCGGGGACCGCCGAGAATTCTCGCAGGCAATCGTTGAGTCTGTCAGAGCATCCAGCCGACGCGGGTGATGTCGGCGAAAATCCCCAAAATCGGAGGGCTGCAACGCTGGGGGCGAAAAGACTCCCGCCGTGCAAGGAGGGCGGAGCCCACCCAAACCGACCTACGGTGTAGACGACATATGATAGTTGCGCCCGCAAGCCCAAATGAGGAAAACACCCGCTTGATCGACACCATCAATGCAGTCGGGGCCGGTTTTGTCAGTGTCTTGTGCTGGTAACGGCAACCGCGAAAGAAAATCCGCGTTGCCGTTTGCCGAACTTTCCGATATTTCAGGGTGTTGGTGAAGTTGGACAGGAATTCGAGCCATCGTTGCATCCTAGCGTTGTGTTCCCCAACCTTGCCAATGCTCTCCAATGCTTTGTGGTCCGAATAGATGATGAACTTGGTCGACC